TCTTTCCCTCCAAGCCTCATTTCCTCACGACAAAAGTCTTGCCCAAACTCTCTCTGGTATCTCTTCGACTCTTTATCCTCCTCTCCCATGCTTTTTTTTATTTTCCTCCTCTCCCTTGCTTTTCTTCTTTGCTTGCCCAAAAAAAATCTCACAATGACAAAGTAAAAAAATGAGATGGAGAATTTGAGCACCTTACGTGCAACCTACTTGCATCATTTTTACGAAATGGGAAGTATATTTTCAGGAATACTATAGGTAATTTCATACAAAAAACACCACACACAAATGTCCCTAAATGTCTTTATTGGTACGGTGGAATGGTTTTCATAGGTAACGATGACTCATTCACTCACCTAAAAAATCTTTAATGACAGAGTGATAACCTACGTTTGTTAACCATAATTTGGACAGCAAAGAAGCTTTATAGAAATTTCGGAAAAAATAGTGCAGAGAAAGAAAATAATGAAACACGATACAAAATGGAATTTTTTGTTAAAAATAGTGAGGAACAATTTCCAAAAGGGTGCAAGAAAAATTAATGAAAAAAACATAATGAACTTTTTTGTTGATGAACTTTAATGAACTCATCATCAATGGGAATGGACAAAAGTCAGCAAATGTTATTTCCAAAACTATGCAATATGCTTGAACTTATTTTGATGAAATTTTTGTTGCTAAAAATTTGATTAAACTATGCACTAGAACAACTTTAAAATTGCATGCAGCGTCTTCAAATTAGAACCTTAATGTAAACCATGTCACTCAACAAGTATTTTTTCAAACTTTTCGATGTGAATGCAATACAACTTCACTCGCATCAAAACATGTGAGAACTTATTTCCAATTCAAATATTTGCTCGTGTCGGTTTATACCAACATTGTTGCCGTGCATACAATTTGATTAAATAGTATATAATGGGGCAATATATCTTCTCAGTATAAATATTCAATATTCAAAATATAAGCCAACAAAAAAATACTAAATAGCCCCTCAAAAAAATAAATGTGGGAAAATAAAAAAAATTGCAGAAGATCAAAGAACTTCCAAAAATTCCAAGATAATTTCATAACACATTTTTTATTATTTGTACCATGTCCGAACTAATTGAAGAGCATTATCTACTATTTTCTCAGATGATACAAATGATGTAAATATCCAAAACTCAAGAATTTATAATAAAAATGGAATTTAAATACTGAAAAAATGTAGTGTCCATCAAACCCTAATCCTCCATAAATGAGTGGTGGAGTCAGTAAAGTTTGTGTTTTGACAATTGCACTAAGTACAAAAGAAAAATCGAAATACTTCCCTAGTTACTAGTCAAAAATACAATTTCTATCCCGAACTAGTGATCAGTTTAACCATGGGTCACCAAAAAAAAATTTTGGTAAAGCATTTGAGTAAGGTTTCATAATGAAAATTCATCCAAACAAGATTATTGAATCGGTAGCCCTGTCTATAAAGTCATAAGTCGAAATCTTAGGCCAGGAGTTATAAGTCTCATTTTTAAGTATTGTCCCTTTGCACATCAAGGTAGAGTTTATAGTGCCCATAGCTTAATAATCATTCATAGCCAAATCCCCTACTTAAGAAAACTAGTATCAATAGGGCAATAATCACTCAACGCTCAATACTCCACTTAAATACATGTGGTTTAGACAAGGTCTACCCGCATTTACTAAATAGATTAAGGTCTTAGTCAAATAACTCAACATTTCCTCACCATTCGCTTTGACAAATAACAATATATTTTATTTAATTATAACGGCCATTATTATTTATTATTTGCTCTTATTCACTGATTATGTATGTTCTATTATACTTTATTCTATTTTATTTTCTTTCCAAGTAGTTTTATTATGTTTTTATTTATGCCTATTGTAATTGGATTTAAATACCCCTCCTCCTATCAATAATATTTATGTTGGTATATTCTATATTTCAACCTGGTATTAGAATATAACACTATATCCAGTAGCTCCCAACCTTCTCTGCCGGTTCCAACAGTTAGCACCTCACCTCCTAGCCACCGGTCCAGCAAACTGTAGGAAATCCACAAGATTCCTCCTTCGTCCAATACAGCAAAGGGCGTAGTGATCTCATCCTTTGGGTACAGCTAAAGGCACAGCTATCTCTGCCGGGTACGGCAAATCTGCAAGATTCCTCCTGTTCCTGTGCAGCCGTCCTGATGTATGCTTCCTTACCAATCAGGTCTTCTCAACATTAGATCCCAAGGTTTTTGGGTGCAGTACCTTTGTCCGTAATATTGCCCCTACTCAGAGTAAACTTAATCCCAGATTCATAAAATTTATCTTCCTTAGAAACTCCGCAACTCAAAAGGGGTATATATGCCTTGATCTGACCACAAACAAAATATACGTGAGTGCTAACGTCTCCTTTTAAAGTGTTCTCTAATTTTCTAACTCAACCTCTAGTGAGAGGGAGCTGGAGTTCCCCGATACTGTCTCTCATCCCACTTCTATGGATAGTCCTCCCATTGTTCATACCATCGAGGAAGCTCGTCCCGTTGAATGCAACATCTCCTCCTTCCACTGTTCGTGTCTACACTCAGTGCACTCGTCCCAATGCTCCTACTCTGAATAGCGCTACCTCCTTGCAGGACCTTGACTCCACCCCAGACGAAATCCTCAGCACAACCCCTCCTCCGAATAAAGAGGTGAGTTCTCCAAATAAGATACGCAATCAAACATACTCTCTATATCCTATGGCAAAATGTCTCTCTAATATTTATGGCCGACCTACAAAGCATTGCTACTGCCCTGACAGACCATCAAATCTCTGCTACTATTAAAATTGCCCTTGATGATCCAGCCTAGAAAACGATAGTAATGGAGGCGAAGCCTTACCCTTCAACAGAACCATATGTGGGACGTTGTGGACCTTCCTCGGGGTAAGAAAGTTGTAAGGTGTCGATGGATTTTCAGCACCAAGTTCAACTCTGACGGGTCCTTTAAATGTAACAAGAAAAGATTGGTCACCAAAAGGTACACTCTGACCTACGCAATTGACTATGAGAAGAAATTTGTTCCAGTGGCTAAATTAAACACTATTTGGGTCCTGCTATCACTTGCAGTGAACCTGGATTGACCTTTATTCCAAGTAGAAGTCAGTAATGCATTCTTGAATGGAGATCTGACATAAGAGGTGTACATGTATCTCTCTCCAGGTTTTGATTATACTGCCTCCAGAGGACAAGTGTGCGGGCTACGAAAGTCCCTCTATGAGCTAAAGTAGTCCCCAAGAGTCTGATTCCACAAGTTCACAAAGGTGGTCGTAGGTCAGGGATTTACTCAAGCTCAATCGGATCACACCTTATTCTTTTGGCATTCCTCCAATGGTCAAGTAGCTAGTCTTATTATTTATGTTGACATATTATCCTTGCAGGTGACGACCTTACTGCATTGGAGTCCTTAAAAAACATTCTTGCTTTATCCTTTGAGATGAAGGACTTGGAATCTCTCTGGTACTTCTTAGGCGTGAATGTGGCTCAGTCATCTCAAGAAATTTATCTATCTCAACGCAAATATGTGATTGTTCTCTTAACGGTGAACAATCTTCTTCAGTGCAAATCTGTTGTTGTTCCTATGAATTTTAATGAAAAATTATCTGACATTCTCAATATTTTGTCTGTCAAGGAGTCTCATTACCAGCGTCTTGTGGGAAAAGTCATCTACCTCTCTCATACTCTCCCCGACATATATTATGCAGTTAAAATAGTGATTCAGTTCATGCATGACCTCTACGAGCACCACCTCCAAGTTGTCCACTGGATTCTCCACTACTTAAAAGGTACACCAGCTCAGGTTTGTTTTTCTCCAGTCACACATCTCGATTTATTGAAATGTATATAGATGTTGATTAGGCTGAATCAATTCATGATCGATGTTTCACCTCGGGTATTGCTCATTTGTATGAGTCAATCTTGTCACATGGAAAAAGAAAAAAACCAATCTGTGGTTGCCCGAAACAGTGCAGAAGTTGAATTCTAATCCGTGTTAGGAATCTGTGAAGCTCTCTGGCTATGCATCATGCTCCGCAAATTCCAAATTCCAGCCCCCGTCCTGCTGCAGCTATTTTGTGATAATAAGGTTGCAGTCAGCATTGCTTACAATCCAGTCTAGCATGATCATACCAAAGATGTGGAGTTTGACAGACACTTCATTAAGGAAAAGATCGAGTCCAGAGAGATTTGCGTTCCATATTTGTCATTCAGTGATCAAACAGCGGACATCCTCACCAAGAATCTGCCTCACCCTGGTTCGATGCCTTCAAGTACAAGTTGAATATGGCTAACATCCATGTTTCAACTTGAG